ATGTTCACACATACACACACACACATGCAGATGCGCACACGCACAGATGTGCACACGCACACACTGACATGCACACACAGAAACAGATGCATACAGATGCACATACACACACAGACACACAGATGAACACACAGATGCAGATGCACACACAGACACCCAGATGCATGCACACAGATGCATGCAGAAATGCACAGATGCGCACACACACATGGAGATGCACACACAGATGCGCATGCGCAGTCATGTGCATGTGCGCACACAGACACTTGCACACAGATGCACGCACTTGCAGACATACGCACACACATGCAGATGCATGTGTACGCAGACAAACAGACATGCGCACACACACAGAGATGCATGCACACACACACATGCACGTGCCTGTGTGCGCACACAGACACACACACAGACACACACACAGATGCACGCAAACCCAGCCACACACGTTCCCCTTACAGGACTTCCCCCCGTACTCTTGATTACTCTGAGGCAGCCCCCTCCACTCCCCGCCTCATGAGCCACCTGCGGCTCAGTCTTGCTCCCGCCCGGCCCCTGTTGCACTGACTGGCGTGAGCTGCTGCCTGGCTGTGTCCCTGTGGCTGCACACATGCATCGGGCCGGGCCAGCTCAGGCCAGGAGCGTGTGCCCACCTCTGCAGGCAGGTGGTGGCGCTGGGAGGGGTGGCTATGGGGGCTAATGTGAATTTTGGCAGGCTATGGCCCCCACACCCAGCACCACCACCTGCCTGTGATTTTAAACTTGGTGCCATTTTTGTCTCTCTGCTGGGAGACAAAAATGTGCCAAGTTTAAAACCACAGCTTTTGTTTCACTGCTGATGAGGATCCCGGGGCCCCGAATTGGTAGGGGCCCCTGGGCTCATGCCCAGCTGGCCCCGTCCATTAATCCGCCTATGCCCAATCCTGAAGCGAAGGGTTCTCTGTGGCCCTCGTTCTGCTCTCCTTCCCACCTAGTGTGCCTCAGCACCCTTCCTCCAGTCATTGGCTCGTCTCTCCCATCATGCTATAATATCCAAGTTCCCCTCATCAGGGCTTCTCTGTGGTCCCTATTTTCCTGCTACCTATATATATGAAATCCCAGATTTTCCCTTATGCCAGAAACTATGTGAACTCTAATTTTTTTTTAACTGTCAAATAAATCAGGTCATTTTCAACATGCCATCAAATGGTTGTTTGAGTATAGACAGCTGCATAGCTACTTGCCTCTGTGGCTGTACCAAATAGGCGATAGGATGTTGTCCTCTGTTCCTTTCTCCTTCCAGTTTTCTGTTTCCCACCCGCCAAATCAGTAGGGGTCTAGCTGATGCTTCCCTGCTGTTTTGGAATTGGTATGATGTGATGTTTGAAAGTTGTGCAACAGACAGGCAAGCACAGCAATGCTGTCAAGTTGAATGAAAAGCCTTTACAAGTTTAGCCAAGAAAACTGCACTGTTATTTTTGAAACAATACTCACCTGTGACCTTTAGAATAGAAATTAGAATCCATTTCCCCCCTTTAACATTTGATCTTAGCAGAACAGTATTAAATGAAAGCTAAGTAAGAAATAAAAAATAATTGTGTAAACCAAGGCTGTCAAAAGATACAGCTGTTTTATCTAGCCTACTCAGCTCCTGGATGGGCCTGGCATTTGGGAGCAGGGTGGAGTGTGGGCAGATCCTTCTCCTGCAATCCAGAGTATGAGCACCTGTTGGGGACGTGTTTTGGTGGTTGGATGGAGGGCGGGTGGTCAGCAAAGGCCATGTTAACCCTTGTGCCCGTGCTGCTCACACTGCCACTGGAGGTGGGTTTGGATCTGGTGCATGAGACTCCTAGAAGTCTGGATCCATCCCAAGGCACTAGGGGAGCATAAAGGAAATAAGAGTCTTGTTTTTCCATGGCGGGACTCCAGCTCTAGATGACACTGGTATTTAACTGAAATCAGACCTGATGATCTTGTAAGGTCCCTTCCAGCCCCTAACATCTACAAATCCCTAACATCTATAAAACAACCACAGTGAATCAGAAAAGAACTAGATTTCAGTTAAACTTTCTCTTTCTTACTGCTAGGAGAGAGTAAATGTGAAAGTGTAATTCCCTCGGGTGGCATGTACTTGTTTCTAGTATAACCACATGGCAGGCTTTGGACAGCCCGGAGAAAGGTCTCGTTTTGAAACGGAACTCCTTGAGTCATTGCACAGAGACAGTTGAACTGACAAGCATTTATGCTGCAGTTGGTCAGTCCTTGATTCCTCCTCCATCCCCCACAAATTGCTTCCCGGAGCCAGGCCCGCTGCTGATAATAAAAATGAGCACCAGCAGAAGAACTGTTGAAGGCTATTAATATTTTGGGGAAATTGGATGTTGAGATGTGGTCTGGGAGAATCAGTCATACAGGTGGGGGCAAAAAGAGGAAGAATGATGAAGAGAACAAAGTGATTTGAAATTGTTGGGAAACCACTCCTTTAGAGGCTATTGATATTATTATGTTTTGTCCGCATGTGATGTGGAAGGGTAGGGGTTTCCTCAGTTCCTAGAGGAGCAGTTTTTCTCTCCCAGGGCTCCTTAGAGGGAGAAAAATGAATGTTGACGTGAGAGTGCATCTGAGAATTTGGTGGGCAGGGCAGGAGAAAACTTGGAGAGACTGGTGGGTTAGGACCTACTGGTCTTGGTCCAAGAAACTGGTTGTTGCTGGGGTGAAAAACATTCTGATTTACTTAACTGTAGCAATAGGCCTTTGCTGACAAGTATCTTTGTCACCAGATACATTTTACCATCCAACATGTATGCTGTGTATGCCATTTTACTTCACAATGGACTATCCAAAAGGAGAGAAGTGACAATGTAAATATTGTATTATATAAAGTTTAGTCCATGCAGCATATTGAAGGAATTATGAATGTGTCCACGTGCGGAACGTTTGAAGATTCATTATGTGAAATCGGGCAGAACCAAAGTAAAACTATAAAGCCAGCAGGAAATGTTAAAAATGGGTAATTAAGAAAAAAAAAGCTTTGATCTTTCAATTTATTCAAGTAAGATTTAAAACCTGCACAAAATTAACTCTGGATTCCTTTAGTAAAATTCCGTCGTACAGGAAGGAATTTTTTTTTTGCCCTTCATAAAGCAATTGAAAAAGTCTCAACTTAAGCTGCGTTCTTCAGCAAAACCTTAAATATGGAGCCATGTCCAGTGCCTCCATGTCCAGTGCCTCCATAAATATAAATTATTATATTTGTGACTTTATTTCTGTGCTGTTACAACAGATGCACATTTGATAGCCTGTTACTTGTAGTTGATTGTGAATTTCTAGCTCATTATTTTCTTGTGGAAGTCTGCCAGAATTTAGCCAATTATCATATTTTAAGTGTATATGTGTTTGTTAACCAAAAAGAAAAAAAGTATCTTTCTAGTCAGCCTAAGATTCTTATGGGTTTTGTATAGAATATTTATTTTTATTGAATATTTAAGGTTATAATGGCAGAATTTTCATTTTATTCTTCTTTTTAAATTCTGTGCTGTGGAATCTTTTGTTTCACTTGAACTTTTTTCTAATTTAGAGGATGTCAATTTTCATTTTAACTTGTATCGGCTAAAGGAGATTTCTCGAAGTACAGGAGGGTCCCAGGAGATGGCAGTGTGCAGTAGCACATTATACACAGATTGCATGGAAATTAACTGCATTCTGCATTTCACATTTAACGTGGAGTCCCTGTATTTGCAAACTATATATGCATTTTTCATTTAAGGAAATTTTAAGTTGCTTATTGAAAACACACAATTATTTGGTGTTGGCTAACTGACTTGCTTGCTTTAGTTGAGATGGGCTTGCATATCTTATAAATGGCATATTATGTATTTGCTTGGGACTGAACTAATGGATATTAAGTATGGTTTTACTAATTCAGTGTTTAATGTGTACTGTTCCATTAGGCTACCTATCTGCTTTTCCAGAAAGGAGTACTTGGGATTTAGTCCTTTATATTTTTCACTGTTACAGTATGTCATTCTCCCATCTGATCCATATTCCAATATTAAGTCCTGAGACCACTCTTATTCTATGTAATTAATTCACAGTGGTATACAAACTCGAAACAGAAGTATATGCTGTCTTTCCCCCCTTGTTTTAACTTGTGGCTTTGCATAATTTAATTATACTAAATATACATGTTGAGATTTTACTCTATGGTCTAAGTAGTACTTGAATTTTTAAACTCATCATAAATAAACTTCAGCTTTGGGTTCTCCACTGAATTAACTTATTTCATTGACACTGGTGGGACTAGATAGGACTACAGTAAAGATTGTGTTGAGCTTGAGCAGGGTTTCAAATCACTTTGTTAGGATGAAGACAATTTTGTGTTGTGCTGACATGGCATCACCTACCCTTCGAGGGCAGATTTAATTTTTGATAAAGGTACAAGTACATCTTTGCACTACTGGTAAGAATTTAAAGGAGTTGAAACTATCTGCTTGTTAAATCTCATGGCTGGATCTAATGTTCTGACCATCACTTATCTTATAAATATCTTTCTCATAGGAAGGCTGATTCAAACATATGCAATAACACGCAGTTTCAATCCAGCCCAGAACAAAAAAGGGTTGGATTGTACCCCTTTTTGCATGAAACTAATCTAGCATTCTCTTGTGGACTTTCCCTGCAGTTGTTCAATAATGTGAAGGAAAATATGCCAAACACCACAAGTTAAGCACTGCTAAATCAAGCTGAACAAATTATTGGAAATTCTCCCCGTGGAGGAGAGAATCTATATGTATCTTTGTGCCAACTTTTGGTCCCCAAGCTTCTTCACTCTCTAACATTGTGGCTAAAGTGGAGCTTTGTTACTGGGGCTCCTCTTTTGGTGGATTTTTTGTTTAAAGGGGAAAGTTTATAATTACAAAAGGGACAGGGTAATGAAATAGTACCAAGGGGGTTCAGCTAACATAAACCTGAAGGCAGGTTTTGTCTCAAAGCATCATGTGTGCACGTTTTTCCTTTCATAGTTGCTGGTGTCAGAGAAGATGTCTTTCTGGTCTGGAAGGAATTGAAAGAGGCCAGGAGTACACTGAGGCAAGTTCAGAGTATTTTAACAGTGTCTGACCAGCCTATTTCTGGAGAAGGTATTATTTATATTTTTCTAGATGGATACTGCTGTGCTTATTATTAATGGACTTCATTTCAGGATGCTGTGAATAGTTGTTAGTTTAGGGATATTTTTCTTTGTTCTGCGAAAATAGTAAGATCAGTTCCAGAGTGATGATTGTCTTATAATATTTGACTCTCATTTTGTAAGAAGCAAGAATTACATTGTGACTAATACAATTTAATTTTAAATCCTCATTTCTTTGGATGTACTTGAACTATACTAAATTAGCCTTTCTAAAAAACGAGTATCTTCCCTTTGGGGTTGCCTTTTGACAGTGGCCAAGGTGAGGACGGAAGGTCTTTCATTTCCCTTGCCTTTTGTTTATTAGGGTTCCTGGAGGTTGGTGCTGTGTTGGTTTGGGTGAGGTGGAGGAGTCAGGTATGTTTTTCGGGGAGGGAAGTGACAGCTGTATCTTCTGCACAGGAGAGAGGGTGTGGGCTTGGAGGGGATGTTGGGGAAGGATGGGGAAATCTCTCTTGGGGGTGAGGCAGGGTGGTAGGAATTGGTAGCTGGGCAGTGGGGGATAAATGGGAAACGGTTTCTATATCTGGATGTGACTGTGGATTGGGAGGTATGGTTGGGATTGGTGGGAGGGTTTATTTATGCAGGCATTTGGGCAGGGAGGCAGTGGTTGGGGGAAGGGTAAAGTTGGAGTTGGTATTCATAGAATCATAGAAAATTAGGTTTGGAAGGGGCCTCAGGAGTTTACCTAGTCCAGTGGTTCTTAACCTTTTTCACACTGAGACTCATTAGCATAATTATCAGCTTGCCGTGACCCGCAACACCCTAGACCTGACCCACACAGTCTCTCTCTCTCCCTCTTCCCTTCCTCTGGCTGCTGCATCTGGCCCCCTCCCTCCCTTCCTCTCTGGCTCCTGGGGCTGCTCTTACAATGCATGCTCACCAGGTCCCTGACTGCCTGCTGGCTCCATGCAGGCTGCCAGCCTTGCAGCCTGCAAGGGGAAACCATGCAATTCCCTTGGACCTCCCTGTGACCCTTTACAATATTCTTGCAACCCACTTTTGGGTCATGACCCATGGGTTGAGAAACGCTGATCTAGGCCAACCACCTGCTCAAAGCAGGACCAGCCCCAACTATCATGTCCCAGCCAAGGCTTTGTCTATGGAATAAAAAATCACAGTGTTGGCTGGGGAATCTTAACTTTGGGTTGCTTGTTTATGGGAAGCCACTCTGAGGCTTTAGGATGGGAGGATATAAACAAAAAGTAAATAAGCAATACTATTTATTACTATAGGCAAAATTGGAAGTGATAGCTATAGTTAAGGTTACCTAAAGCTTCCCCTGCAAGTTCTTATTTACAGTTGCTTGTAATTCTGTTAAAGATGAATTGCCAATACTGAAATCTGCCATGAATACTGACATTTATTTTCTGCCTTTGGATAATGTCTGTGAAAATGTTTCAAAGGTTTAAAAAATAAATAGTTTCCTAAGCTGTTTCTCTGAACATCTGTAGCACCTCAGTATTGAAGAAAGGGCTTAAAACTTGATGGGGAATAGCTATGCAATTCAGCTGCACTCTGAAAATTCATCTACATTTAACCAAATTATAAATCCCCGAAAGCTGACATTTGTACATGCTTAAGCCTTATCTTCACTGCACAGAGTTAAATCAAGGAAAATTATGAGTGTTGTCCCTAACTTGATTTGTGTACACATGATAAGGCTCAGATCCCAAAAAGTATGTAGACATTCCAGGGCTGACTATTGCAACACCCAGGGCGCATCCCGGTGAGCACACACATGTGGTATTAGACATCACAGACCTGTCTGTGGCATCACACACTGCACAAGCAGGCATTGCCCAAGCTGCTAATTTGTAGCAAGAGATCCCTCTGTCAAAAAAACCCACAGTGGAAAAAAGCAGGGCAGCGAATGTGGCAGCAAGATGCACCACCTGAAACCAGAGCCTGGCTGGCTAGAGCCATGCTCTGGCTGGTGGCCAGGCTCCCTGCTGCTGGATTGCCTCTGCTGGAGCCCTGGAAGGCCCCCAGGACCCCAGGTAAGGCTGCTGGAACCAGTTCAGGTGCTGGCCCCAGCCTCCTCTACCTCACCCGGAGGAGCTTGCCACATGCCAGAGCACACGTGCACAGGTGTTCCTTAGGGGCAAGTAGCACTGGCACATATTGTGCCACTGTTGTTTATCCCCAGGGAAATGCACATGCCTGCATGTCTGGATCTGGCCCCAGATTCCAAGCTCCCTGTACAGTGCAGGAGAGTCTGGCATCTCAGGATGGCATCCAAAACAGGCAGCTGGCTGAGCAGGAAGCTGGCTGGAGGAAGAAACCCTGAGGGCAGGGCTGTGTCTTGAATCCTGCTCCTTTTCTATGCTCAGGTGCTGCCAAAAGGTGCCTCCTTTCAGTTGGAATTCACAGGCCAGAATCCTTCCCTCAAAGTAGGCACCTATGACTTAAAAAAACAACACAAACCTGACACGAGGGCAACTTGCTGGTAACTCAAGAGTCTCTGCTCCCAAGTATAGGGGCTGGAGAGTTTTCCAGCAAAAATACCTAAAATAATTGTTTGCCATGATAAAACACAATTTCCCAGTCCTGTTCTGAGAAACACCAACGCTGTTTTAGCAAAACAGCCCTCCTCAAAAACTCAGTTTTAGGCAGAATTGTAGCCTGGAAAATTTCAGACCAAATGGTTTGATTTTGGCAAAGTTACAAGCAACTGACAAGGACTGGGGACATAAACTGGTATAAGTGATAGGAAACTGGTTCAGACCTGTAACAACAGGGCTAAGTACAGAGGTTCAAAAAACCTGAGGTGGAATCAGTTTGATCTTTGCAGGTTTTTATAAGCTGGGTAGCTTGAACCAATAACAGACTGAACTGACATTCAGTTTTTGGGGTGGCCAAGACAGGCAGAAACCTGCACTGGCCCAGGCCAGGAGGTGGGGGTTGCACGACCCCTCATGCCCAGCTCCCTAAGGCTGCTAAACCCAGCCCAGTAGCATCCCAGGCCTGATTGGCTGATGGATATATGCCACCCCCTCTCTCCCCTAATGTCAGCTGTAGAGAGGAGAGAGCCGGCAGAAAATCTCTTCTCAGCCCCTGCCTCTGAGAGGGGAGTGGAGGGGCAGAATGCCTCACCTGGCCCTGGTCCCCTAATTGGTCCCCTAGCTATGCCTGGCATGGGAAGAGCCTCCACTGGGGGGGGGGGTTTCACCCCTCCCCACTGCAGCCTGGCTAGCAGGGCTTCAGGATTGGCTCAGCCCTGTCCCCTCCCCAGCCCTATGCCTGTGAGAGGGGGTGGAGGGAATGCACACACCTGGCCAGGTACTGCCCTTCCCGAGGAGGGTCTGCCCATAAACCACTTCCAAAATGGCTGAAACTGGTTTAAGTTAAACCTGGATGGAGGTAGTATCAGACTTAACTGATTTAGGTTAAATCAGTTTATTGAACTTCTGTCCCAGCTCCCCTCTGGATTCAAGTTAACTCACAGTTCCCCTGCATTCCAGGATGCTTTGAATCTCTTCTGCAAACTCCCCCTCACTGGGTGGGCAGGCTAGTCTTGGCCAAAGCTCTCTGCTCCAGCCCAGCAGGGAGCTGTGTTCTAGCAGTGGTGATGCTTAGGGGGTGCATGTGCACACCCTGAGAGTACCAGTGCATCCCCTGTCAGGCTGCGCTCCCTGTGTAGCCAGCAGGCAGGGGGGCAGGCAGGAGCACCAGTGCCCCCCCGCTAGTGCTTGCCGGGGTGCGGGGCTTCCAGCAAAAGTGGCCGTATTACTTCTTGGTGAGTGAGATCAGCCGCGGGGGACCCTCCCCAGTTAGCGTGATTGGCTGCCAGGGGGACCCCCCCCCCCCCCCCGGCTCAGGGGGGCGGGGGGGGGGGGGGAC